GCAATCTTTTTAAAATCAGGTCTTGTGATTCAATGAATCTCAAGATATACTATATTTATACATAAGGAACAAGGAGGTTTGGGTGTTCCAAATTTTACTAAATATTTTTTGGTGCAAAGACTGCCCCACTAACCTCTCTTTACACTCAAAATGCCCCCTTACAGGTTGACTTAGAAGCATTGCTCCGTTCTCAACATCTCATCGTTCACTCCCATGGCTTCCTCCAAAATCCAGACCTCTGTCTATCAGCCTCTTGATGGGTCACACGCTCTGCGCCAGGAACTCTAATAAATATTCCAGCAACTTCATATCACCTCACTTGCCTCTCTTTCCTCTTTTGGGAGATCCAATATTTCCTCAGAGTTTAGAGTCTGCTACTGCATTTTACAGGTGGGCTTCCCACAACTTCCATTACATCTACTCTTTTATTGCCGGTTGCTCTGTATACACCCAGAAGGAAATTTACAAAAAATACCAAGCCCCACCCACTGAACTTTTTTGTTTCCTCCAAATTAAACACTGGATGACTACCATAATTACTAACTACTAAAGATCTTTCAACTCAACTCTCCTTGTTTGAACATATCTGCCAACGCACTCCTCTTGCCCCAAACTTACCTCAATTATCACAACTGAATGATCTTAAAAGTCCTAGAGTCCCGGCCCCCCAGGACACCTGTTGGGAGGTAACCTTGATTATGAGTTAACCTTAGACCTGTATACTAGGGGAGTAGTGCAGATTTACAGGAACTAATAGTGATGTTTGGTCTACTCTGCCCTTCATCCACTGGGCCCACAATGGATGGCTTGGTTTACCCCAGTACTACAGCTGTACCACCCCATTGTCCCCCCCATCTTGTGAATATCATTGGTGGGGTTAAGGTATGATCAGGTCTACATTTATATATCCTCACTGTAAAAGGTTGGAGACATTTATTCTGTGTTTGAAGGAAATAGTGACTGTTGACAACACGCCACCCTTTTGTTTATTTGATGATTGTATTTTGATATGAGAATAATGTGAACGGTTTTCTACATGTGTAACTATTGGATTATTTACACCTCTACTGAAAATCTAATAAAAACCATTAGAAAAGAAAAGTCCAAGAGGCCACACCTATGTCCATAAGGGGGAACATGACCTTAAAGGCACTAGGGACAGGGAAGACTGGATACAGATTTGGACCAGGATAGGCTCCTGCTCTATCAACACACTTGCTCTCAATTTGGGCTTTAAATCCATCTCCAGGTGGTCTATGTTCCAACCTTTTTAGTGCACCTTTGCCCTATCTCTTCCAACACCTCTTTTCAGGGATGTTCCCACCCAGGGGACATACTTCATACATGGTGGTCATGCTCCATGCTTTCCTGATTTTGGACAAAGGTCCTAAAACAGTTACAAATGTTACTAATCTGCCTCTTTCCTAGGAACCCTTGGTACGTCTTATGGCATTTAAAACCCTCAGGCCTCACGAGATCCCAATTTAAATTGGCTATAAATGTTTTACTAGCGGTGAAACAAAGACTTGGAAACAAGAGCTTGGCCCCCTCGTTGAAGTCCATCTTAGCATAGATTTCATCTAACAAAGATGCTTAATAAGAAAATCTTAAAACCTGGGCCCCGTGAATACATTACACTCACCCCTCCATGTCCCCTGACACCTACACACTGCTATAGGCATTGAGGCCCCAGGTTTCTGGTAAGAGGTCCCCGATGTCCTCCTTCTGTTCTCCTTTTTGTCTTAGAGCCTTCTAATTCCCTTCCCTCTTCCTTTTCTCTCAGCCCCCTGACCTGGGAGGCCTTGGTTACTGGGTATCTTGCCTATCCTCTGTGCAGGACCCGACTCTCTCACACCCAGTCCAAGAGAGTCTCCCAAATTATGGCTAACTCAAGAATTACCCTCTTCCTCTTTTTCTCTTCTTCCCTTACTATCCTCTTATTGCCATTCTTACAATGTGTATCGTTATTGTAAACCCGATCTTGTAACACGCCGCGCTCATTGATCTTTATATCCATCACTTGTATTCTCTTGTATGATTTACGGATGCACGCTGGAATTGTTTTCATGGGTTGGTTACTTCTGAATATTTGTACGAGTTGCACAATGTATCCTACAAAACTTTAATAAAAACTTACTGCAAGTGAAAGTTAGTTGGACAAATGTGAGGAGCATTTGCCCCGCCGAGATACATTCTGGCCATCATTTATTTTACACAATGATTTCCTATGATGGTCAGCTCCATCTAGTGGCCTCAATGCAGTATTTTCCTGAAATCCCTCTGTAATATGGAGGTTTGTTAGCTCCTGTGGTAGATGTTTGTAAGTGAGTCCACGTCAGACAAGACTTGCGGTTTATCGGCACGGTGGCCCACTTTTATTAAGAAGGAAAATAAAAGTCTTTACACCATAAGGTTTCCCACGCAGGGGATTGTCCAGTTTTGTCAATACATCAGATAACTGAAAATGCTAGCTCACCTGGCTACACTTCAGCAGCACCACTGATCTTTACACTGGTCCCCCAGACTAGGACTTCTTCAGGACTACTCAGCCTTGGATGCAGCACCTCACTACACAGGTCAACTCCTGGCCTCTGAATTGGGTTCCCCAGATCCCCTCAAGCTCCATTGACTTCTGGACTCTGTCCAGCCCCCTGGACTCACAAGTCACTTCAGGTCCCCCAGACTCTTGGAGCTGTCCTGACTTTCCCAGTCCTTGGGCAAGGAATCCCACCTCACAAGGGATGCAGTCTCCAGCAAGAACCCCCAACTCTCCTGACAGGGTCCTTTCTCCAAATGGCAGAAGACCTGGCCTATAATGATCCTGCCCACCTATGTACTCACACAGGCTGCAGGCATCTAGCAAAGCCTGGACATGGGACTGAAGGTCTTGTCCTCGTCAAGAATCTCTGGAATCTTCAAGCTCCAGGTCCCGACCCGGAACTACCAAATCTATTGAAAACCTAGAACAGAGTTTTCTCTGCTCACAAAATACATGTTGGAGCTTCTCAAACAGCAGCCAGGAGGACCTGGTGTCATTGTCACAGTGGCAGAACCTCACACTTCCATCAGACCTCCAAGTGTTTGTGAAAGCTTACGCTAGAACATTGACTCCATTTTTATTCTTCTCCTGCTATCAATGGCCAACCCGGTCCCACACTTCATCCACGTCTTTGGTGACCTCTGATCTCCTTATGACCTGTTTCTTCCATGATGAAGATCAGCCATGGAGTATATCTGAGGTGTATAGCAGGGTGTGTTTTTTTCCCACCTGACAGCTGTGAAGTCCAGCAACATTCATCTAGAAGACATTTCCCACACTGAAGGCACTAATACACCTCGAGGGTTGTGTGGGATCCCTGATGTACAGGAAGACAGGACTTCAGTGAGGAACATTTCCCTCACTCAGGACAGGAATGTGGCTTTTCCCATATGTGAGATCTTTACTGTATAACAAGTTTTGATTTTTGTACGAAAAAATTTCCCACACTCAGAATAGGAATAGTTTCTTTTTCTTGTGTAATCTCTGATGATTACAATGAAGGAAATAAGGATTTGATCCCCTGCTGATTTTGAATGTTTGCCCCCTCACAAAGAAATGATCAGTCTAAAAATTGAATGTTCAGTATATTGTAACACTGAGAGACAGAATAGCAACAAATAATTCAAAAGAAATGCATGTCTAACAAATGATGACTGATTTGCATGTTCATGAGGGAAATAAGTATTTGATCCCCTTCACAAAACATGACTTAGTACTTGGTGGCAAATCTAAGTTTGGTGGCTGACGTTTGGCAACTTGAACTTTCAGCTCCCTCCACAGATTTAATTGGATTAAGGTCTGGAGACTGGTTAGCCACTCCAGGACCTTTAATGTACTTCTTCTTGAGCAGCTCCTTTGTTGCCTTGGCCATGTGTTTTGGGTCATTGTCATGCTGGAACACCCATCCATGACCCATTTTCAATGCCCTGGCTGAGGGAAGAAGGTTCTCACCCAAGATTTGATGGTACCTTGCCCCGTCCATTCGATCCTTTGATGTGGTGCAGTTGTCCTGTCCCCTTAGCAGAAAAACACACCCAAAGCAGAATGTTTCCACCACATGTTTGACAGTTGGGATGGTGTTCTTGGGGTCATAGGCAGCATTCCTCCTCCTCCAAACACGGTGAGTTGAGTTGATGCCAAAGAGCTGGATTTTGGTCTCATCTGACCACAACTCTTTCCACCAGTCCTCCTCTGCATCATTCAGATGTTCAGTGGCAGACTTCAGACGAGTCCTGGACATGTGCTTTCTTGAGCAGAGGGACCTTGCGGGCACTGCAGGATTTCAGTCCTTGTCGGCATAGTGTGTTACCAATTGTTTTCTTGGTGACTGTGGTCCCAGCTGCCTGGAGATCACTGACAAGATCCTCACTGTGTAGTTCTGGGATGATTCCTCACTGTTCTCATGATCATTGACACTCCACGAGGTGAGATCTTGCATGGTGCACCAGACCTAGGGAGACTGACACTTGTTTTGTGTTTCTTCCATTTGTGAATGATTGCACCAACTGTTTGTCACCTTCTCACCAAGCTGCTTGGCCATAGTTTGGTAGCCCAGTCCAGCCTTGTGTAGGTCTACAATCTTGTCCCTGACATCCTTGGACAGCTCTTTGGTCTTTGCCATGGTGGAGAGTTTGGAATCTGATGGTTTGATTGCTCCTGTGGACAGGTGTCTTTTATACAACTAACAAAATGAGATTAGCAGCACTCCCTTTAAGAGACTGCTTCTAATCTCAGATTGTTACCTGTATGAAGACACCTGGTAGCCAGAAATCCTGCTGAATGATAGGGGATGAAATACTTATTGCCCTCATGAACATGCAAATCAGTCATTTGTTAGACATGCACTTCTGCTGAATTTGTTGTTGCTATTCTGTCTCTCAGTGTTACAATACACCGAACTATTTGATTTTTAGACCGATCATTTCTTTGTAAGTGGCAAATATTAATAATCAGCAGGGGATCAAATACGCATTTCCTTCACTGTATAAAGATTGGACTTAGCTGAAAAACATTTCTTGCACTCAGGAGATGAATATGTTTTTTTCCCCTGTGTGAGACATCTGATGCTTGACAAGATCTGATTTTTGTACAAAACATTTCCTGCAATCAGAAGCAGGAAAACGGCTTCTTCCCCGTGTGAGATCTCAGATGTCTGCAAAAACTGGACTGCTGTGAAAAACATTTCCCACACTCAGGACAGGAATACGGCTTCTCCCCTGTGTGAGATCTCAGATGTTTGTGAAGAGATTTTG